CCAGCTCCTCCTACTCCCCCGCCCCCCCCCACCCCTGTTCACACGCCGCCTCTCGCTGCCGCAGCTGGGCCGAGCTAATCAGCACAACATCCACCTATTGATCGTTGGCTGAGTGCCAGGCGGGCCGGCACAGTGCCAGGGGCGGCTGCGGGGCACCAAGGCGGGTAGCACACAGCCGCGGGGGAAGGGGCACCCCTTACCCTGGCTCCACCCAGGACACCGTTCAGAATGAGGGATCCGGTTGGGCTTGGGGGTACCACAGCCTCGCCTGCCAGAGGTGGGGAAGACTGCAGGGCTGAGAGCAAAGGGGGCCCTCCCTCCTCGGCCCCACCTCCTCCTCCTTATAAAAGCGAAGAACAAAGAGGCCGCTGAGGAAGGAGGCTTTGATCTGACCCCACCTTCCCAGTTCTAGGCCAGGCACCGCCCAGAGTGGCCTTGGGGAGGCGGAGGGATGTCCAGCTCGCAGGGACCCAGGCATTCCGAAACCCAGGCACTGTCTTTTCACTACCCCTTGCTGTTGCCGGAACGCCGGCTGCCAGGGCTTGGGCAGTGCCCTAAGCAGACAGGCCATCAGGAGCATCTGCCCCCTTCTCAGCATAGGAAGCCGGCTGGGGAGGTGGGAGGTGCCAAGCTCCACAGCTGCTGCTGGCACCCACCCCACACAGAGGGGTGCCACCCAGGCCTAGCATGGATGGTCCAGGCGCAGCTGGTACGGAGGTCAGGCCAACTCAAGCTGGGAGCAGAGGCCGCAGGGAGTCCTGGTGTCAGGGAGGGAGCCAGAGGGCAGGAGGGTGGGGAGGGAACGAGAAGGCTGGTTTATTGAGGGTTTGGTTCAGACACTTATAAAAATACAAATTGGCATGAAATTCAACCTCATGGCAAGTACGTCTTCACAGAAGACAAGTGAGTGACCCCCCCCTCCCCGGGGAGGGTAAGATGCTGCCCCAGGGAAAGGCCTACTGGGCACTGGGCACAGACACCGGGCCTGGGCTTCTTCCTGGCCCCGGTCCAGCAATCCACCTGTCCCCAGGTCTTCGGCCCTCAGCCAGCTCCAGGATTCCATCCTGCCAAATCCCAGCCTTCCTGGGGGATGGGAAGAGACCGGCAAAGCAGCTGACAGAGACCCTATGTTTGTTCACTGCGGGGTGCTCAGGGCCGCTCTTGAGCTTGTGATGAGGCGGTGAGCCCCAGCAAGGGTCACGACAGAGCCTCTGATTCCCCCATCACTGCTCCAGCTTGTCTGTCTGGCTTGGCACTCCCAGCTCGGGTAGGAGGGGCCCCTCCTCCAGGGTGTCCTGGGAGGGCTCTGGCTCCCGGGGGTGGCAGGGAGGGTCCGCTTGGCTCAGAGAACTCGCAGGAGACGCAGGATGGGGAGCAGCAGCAGCAAGAGACAGAGGGGGCTGGGGGCACCCCCTCCTTGCCATCCTGATGTACCACTCTCTCCAGGGTTCCCAACAGGATGGACTGACTCAGACTCTGTGAGGGGGAGGGGCAGCACTGAGGCGTCTTCCCAACCTCCCTCCTGTCCTCCCCCTTAGCTGTTCCCCTCCTGTTCAATTCTCCAGCGTCTCCCAGACCAGCCACTCCCTTCCCATGATCTACCATCTCATCCTTTCTAAACTCTAAATTGCAAGTCTCCCCCAAATTGCCACTAGAGACAACCAGCCCAGCTAAGGCCCCAAAGAGCTTTGCCCCTAGAGACCTAGAGACTCGGTTGTCTTGGCCCAGCATAAAAAGGGGTGTAATGGAAGCTCCCACAGGGCTAAAAGGGGGACAGGGTGGAGGGGAGAGGCCACACCTTGAAGCCCCACCTGGACGCCTCCGAATCTGATGATCCCAGATTCTCCCCCATTTCTTCCCTCCTTCCCGAGGGTTCCACATGAGACAGAGGGTTGCTCCCCGCGGCCTACCCTGCTTACTGCTCTCCTTGCAGCAGACATACACCTGGAGCCTCAAGCACTGGCCGGAACTCTCTGGAGCTGGCACCGCTGGCAGGTGGGAAATTGGGAGGAAGTGGTTAGCACAGGGAGTCGCCACCTTGCAACCCTAAGACTCTGTTTCAGACCCTTCCCGCTTCTCTTCTCTCCTGGTCCCTGGAAAGCTTTCCCTTACTTTTGGGCCATACCCAGGTGCCAGGCCCCATCCATGGCCCTCCCATTCCCCCCAGGCTCCCTCCCTGCTCCTCTTACTTTCCCCTCCTCTCTCCATCCTTTTAGATGTCTCCCTATTTAGTCCTGAGCTCAGCCCCGTTCTGAGCTTTAGGAACCACAGCTCCCCACCCCCTAGGCCTCTGCCTTCATTCCTAGACCCTCCTTCCCCTCTCTCAGGCTCTCGGCCTTGACCAGCAATGGCAGGGATCCGTATTCCTCCCCACTCCCCACCCTGCTAAAAAAGGGGCATCCAGTGTGCCCTGCCTCACTCACACATGTAGTAGTAAGTCTCTCCAGGCAGAAACTCGAAGCCAAGGGAGAAAGGTGTGAAGCGCTGAATCTTCTCTGAGAATCGAACCGGGCCAAAGGGAGCAAAGGGGCGGGAGCACTCCCAACGCTTGAAGGCACCTGCCCCCTCCGCCTGGCAGGCCTCGTAGCCAGGCAAGTTCACCATATAGAGAGCAAATGTCTCGGGGCCCTCAGGGGGCCCTGAACCTTCATAGTGCGGGCAGAAGATGTCCAGGTAATCGTTGAGGCCCAGCTCCACTACAGCGTCTCCTCGAAGCAGCCTGTGGGTACAAGGGAGGCGTAGGCTGAAGGGGGTTGTGGCACAGCACCACTGGGGCATAAAGGTCAGAGATATCCCTTCCCAGAAGTTCCTACCAGCCTCTCCCCCACCCAATAGAGATGGAGCAGTTCAGGAAGGCCTGAGTTCCCCAGAAAGCAACTCTTGAGAGACAAAGAGAGCACAAGAAATAGATGAAGGACCCAATTCACAGTGGAGCGAAGCGAGGTTCAGAGAAGTTCCGGGACTGTAGTGCTCATAAGCACGGTTAAATGGGAGGCCATTTGCTACACACCACCTTTTATGCTGGAGCTGCCCCCCCACCCCGGCCCCGTAGCCCCCGTGCCTGACACAGGGGCTGGCATGGAGCCTGTGCTTGGTCAGCGTCAGGTGGGTGGATGCTGTGAAGGGGCTGGGGCGGAGAGGCAGGGGGTACAGAATGGACCCACAGGGCAGTTAGATACAGAGATGGGGACGGAGACTGGGAACAGTATCCTTAATAAAGATGTAGAGATCAAAATACTGCCCTTTAGATCTCGATCCAACGGTGAAAAGCAAGCTGTGGTGAAAAAAAAGAATGAGAAAGTGGGTGCTTGGGTGCCTTTGCTTTTTGGGCAGGACAAGGAAGTGGCAGGCGTGGAGGGGAGCCCCCTCCACACAGCACCCCGTCTTCTCATCCTTCTCTTCCTCATCTCTCGGGAGGTGCCTGGGGAGCTAGTGCACATGGGAGGGGTGGGAACAGGTTGTCCCCCCAGCATCAGATACTGCACGAACCCCCCCTCCCCAAACCATTCCACAGCAAAGGGAGACTTATGAAGGGCTTCCAGTTGTCCCTTGGGGATGGGTGGTCTGAGGACCACCTGCATCAGCGGGTTCTGATTAGAAATGCAAACTCCAGGGTCCAGCCCAGACCTACCAGAACACAAGCTGGGCAAGGACAAGGCCTTTGTATGTTCTGTTCTGTTTGCTTCTCCAGCGCCTGGAACAGTGCCCTGAACACAGACCGCATTCGGTAAATATCTGTGGATTGACTGAACGAACCTAAAACGTCAGGGTTGGGGGCCAGGCACCTGAATTTTTAACACATCCTCCAAGTGATTCAGAGGCACTGGTCTGGAACAGAGCTAGCGAAATGGAGAGGCAGAAGACAATACTTCTTATCACAAGGTATTGTAAGGACCTGTTTTTAATGGGTGTCCTTTCCAGTGTCTGTGGACTGCCAGAGGGCAGCGTCCTGGTCATCTCATCTCGCTCGGCCTAGCACCCTAGCACAGATAGGGGCACAAAGTACCTGCTTAAATGTTAGTGGGTGAACAAATGAAAGCAGTCACAGATTGTCTCCAGCAGAAAATCAGGAAGACAGATGGAGAAAGCAGAGAGGCAGGGAGAACTGGGGGGGAGGATGGAAACAGGAAAAAATATCGAGGTTCAAAGACAAGCAGCTCAGCAGAGAGAAGCAAATCATAGTGTATATCTGTACAACCCTGCACCTCTTCCACACACAGGACCTCAGTTAGCCCGCTTCTCTTCCCAGGGTAGTCCGGGTAGTAGGTTATTATTAAGCCTATTTTACAGAAGAGACAACTCAGGATAGGGAGGTCAAATGACTTCCCCAAAGGTGATCACCAGAAGAGGCAGGGCCAAGACTGGTTAGAAATAGAAGCGCCAATAAAGCCAGAGATGAAAGAAGAGATATCAAATGAGATCGTGAGACCGAGAGAGCGCGAGAAAGGAGGCCGAGAGAGCAGGCGTGTAACCCTCCAGGGAGTAAAACCCCTTTCGTCACTCTCCAGTCGGCCCGCCTCACCTCTGCCGGCGGCAGGCTGGAGATCACAGGGAGAGAAGCGAGGGGGGCGGGGCCCAGAGTGCTGGCCCAGGCCCCCAGCTCCAGGCTCCGAGACACCACCGTTCGCCCTCGTGCTGGGGTCCTCTGCCCGCCCCCCAACAAAAGCGGGCGGGGGAGCCTCGGGGCGCGTCTCGCCCCTCCCCCCTC